CTAGAACAAGATTTGTTATTCTAGTAATTCTTCCGCGATGTAGCGAGGAGCGAGCTATGCGTCAACAGCCCTGCTATCCCTCTCTACCTTGATCACTCGATAATTACTCTTTTACAATAGCAGACTCTCCGATGACGCACGTGCATGGTTTTATTTAAGACTGGGCCTACTTGCCACTTTAGGCGTATAATCGCGTCACTGATGACGTCCCTTCAGATTGCGTAGACACAGTCACGTGCAGCTTGGTGTAGGTATAGACAGGGTGTGACTAACACCCTGTTGTTGTTTTGCAAGCCGCGTTGAAGTGACGAGAGCCAAGGGTAGCTGACGTAGAAGTTGAAACTTTTAATTTATATCGTTGTTATGCTGGCATGAGTGTGTGTGTGTGTGTGTGTGTGTGTGTGTGAGGGGGGGCGTGGTAAGCTGTGGCGATAGATGGTGGAAAGCTGAGTTATCTTTATATCTTCATATCTTTATATTTTATGTATATAATTTTAGCACAGCAGCGATATTCATGAGTAACCACTTTGACAAAGTGCCATTGAGTGTCTAACAACAGAGAACTCTGGTCTAACAACGCCGTTGCTGCAAGTATGGTTTAGTGCGATATACTATCAAATAATAACATTAATTGTTATAGACAACAAAAACTCAGCAGTGCAGCGGAGAAGGAAAATTCAGGGTGAATGGGTTATAATTTGCCTGTTTAACTGTTTTTATTAAATTGTTGCGCAAAATGCCCTAATCTTTATATGAATTTGAAAGGAGTGACAAATCAGCAGCTACTGAATACATGCACACACAAGAAACTATAGCAGGACGTTAGATAAACACTTCGCTATGGATACACGCAGTGACAGCTGTGTGCATGTGCTCCTCACTATGAATTCTAATTTTATATGCACAATGAAAAGCTTATTCGTGTAGCCGCTTATTGTGATGTAAATATGGGAATAAAATCGTGTGCATATATTCACGTTACACGTACCTATCATAAAATATTTAAATTTCATTCTCCATGTGTTTTCGATTGATTTACGCGGCGAAGCCCACCGAGATAGTCGGGGTATTAATGTGATGTTGCTGCTGAGATAGCCGCTTACAACAACAAGACCCACAAACGTTCTTATAAAGGATGGGAAAATACCATGTAACGCCAAATAATCCAAAGAAAATAATAACGACTCATATGCTTATAGTACAATGCCATGAACAATACATGGACTATTTTAGGAATTAACAATACCGATAGCTTTCCTTTCAACTGATGTTCAGTCAGTTTTATTTGTTGTGGGGGAAGTAAGTGGAAACTTCTTATTAATTTGTACATTCTAATAAATAATGTAAGTGATTTCATACATATTCTGCTAGCTTGCATGTCAATATAAACGTGCTCCTGGAGTTTAGCTCCTACCAGCAAATTGACCGTATAAAACGCTGAGTTAAAAAACCTTTAGTTTTCCTCACTTTAACCACGGTCCAATCGTTTAGAAGTTTTGTAAGAAAACACACGCGCGCACGCACGCACGCGCGCGCGCAGACACACACATGAGATGGTGTCCTCTAGGAAATACCACTGCGTGTCTCTCCTTACTATACCGATGTATAGTTACGTAAGGAATGATTTTGCAGTTTAAATGACAATTAAACGTTGTTGGCGACGGGGGACATCTCTGTCACATTTCACGACAGGCGAGGAGCAGGACAGCCTGGTATAATTCTATTCTAAAGTCATATCGATCTGGACATCAGTTGACATTAATGTGATCGAACGCGTGTGCGTTGAGTGTGGGGTTCCCTCACTTGATATAAGCTATTGTGTTTTTCCTCTATTTCCACTTTCATGATTGTACATCTTATTGTTGCGCATATCACTGAACCTAAATGCACCAGACGCGGATCTTCGAATTCAGTATTGTTACGCTCAGCGGCCGCGTGCGGACTGAAACGTTAGCCGGCCCGATAAAAATGTTGTCTATAGAGGGCACAGCGCGGCAGATGCTTGCGTGCTAGTATTGTTTTAATTAATGTGTTCCGATAATAACAGACTAAGACCGCGCGCAACGAGACGCCAATAAAACGTACGTCACTCGTGCAACTTTACAGGATTTATAGGCGAGCGTGGTGATATCGACATGACATCTTACAACGCTGTTAACCGTAGGCCCTACAGCAGCGATATATGACAAACGAGGCATTCTAGCTGCTAGCGCGCGGCAAGGCAGGGTATACGTGGCACACGTACGGCAAGGGGCTACCAAAATAACAATAGTTATTTATGGTTATGAGGTTTGTTGCTGTTAGAGTATTTCGAAGGTGATACGAAACGCGTTCAGTGTGTATGTCGAGTACTGTACACAATGATGATCAAGTGTAAAATGCAACATGTCTGTACTAAACAGGGCTCAATTTTAACAGTCGTCCGGTCGTCCGTGACGACTGGATTTTCTCTCGGGCAACTAAAAATTGCTTCCGTGGTTGTCCGGTGTCCAACCTCTATAAAAAAAATTATATTCATAATGCGCGCGTTCATTTTACATACGGCCAGGGTTTTGCACAATACGCTGCAAACGTACATGTCTAAACGCATTATCCGGCTTGCTTGATACAAAGTATAACATCACGTGTTTAACAACACAATGTTTCGTATTAATTTTTCAATATTTTAATTTTTAATTTTTAAGTCACTCATCTGTGACTTGACACAGTGCTAGTAATGTTAGTAATGTCAGTAGTGTTATAGTTAACTTAATGTAAATGTTATGAAATAAATTTCATGCAACTTTTAATTACTATTATTATACGTCATTGATCCCAGCATCATTTACCACATTACCAATATTTTATTCTCTTCATATAATGAGTGAAACAATGCGAATGGCCATGTCTGCTGTCACTGCAATACGTACACAATGTACATGATTAGGTATTTTGCTTTACAGCACTGAGCAGAGCGCATGCAGCACATGTTTAAATAATATCCGGACAACCAAAACTCTTGAGGGACAACCATATGCTACTCTCTTGGTTGTCCTCCGGACAACCCAAAAAAAAACCTTGAAATTGAGCACTGCTAAACACGCACAGATACTCCCATACAGACATACAGACATTCAGACAGACAGACAGACAGACAGACGGACAGACAGACAGACGGACAGACAGACAGACGGACAGACAGACAGACAGACAAGGGGGGCTAGGGAGGCAGATATAGACAGACAAACAGACAGGCAGGAATGCAGACAAATAGACAGACTGATATACTATCTCGTATACTTCAACGCCCAGTAGCTAGCTACGGTTACTGCTGCTACTGCTTTTACTGCTGCTGCTGCTGCTTCTGCTGCTGCTGCTTCTGCTGCTGCTGCTGCTGCTGCTGCTGCTGCTGCTGCTGCTGTTTCTGTTCTGCTGAAGGGGTCGTTGTCGTATATGTACCCGAGTATAGTACCCGAGGTGTCGGCGAGTATGTCGCCTACGCCTACTCCCTAACCCTAACCCTAACCCTAACCCTAACCCTAACCCTAACCCTAACCCTAACCATATCAAATAGTTACCTCGGGTACATATTATACGCCATTATACGACAACGACCCTTCGTGCATTATTACTACTACTACTACTACTACTACTACTACTACTACTACTACTACTTACCTACTACCCCACCTACTACTCGCTATACTACTACTACTACGACACGACGACGACGACGACAACGACGACGACGACGACGACAGTGGCGGTGCGGCGGTGGCCGGCGCGTTGCTGCTGTGCTGCTGCTGCTGCGACTACTACTACTACTACTACTACTACTACTACTACTACTACTACTACTACTACTACTACTACTACTGCTTTACTGCTGCTACTACTACTACTACTACTACTACTACTACTACTACTACTACTACTACTACTACTACTACTAGTCTACTATACTACAAACTACTAACTACTACTACTACTACTACTACTACTACTACTACTGCTGCTGCTGCTGCTGCTGCTGCTGCTGCTACTGCTGCTACTGCTGCTACTGATGTTGTTGTTGTTGTTGTTGTTGTTGTGGCTGCTGTTTCTTCTTCTTCTTCTTCTTCTTCTTCTTCTTCTTCTGCTGCTGCTGCTGCTGATGATGATGATGATGGTGATGATGGTAGTGACGACGATGATGATGATGAAGATGATAATGATAATAATAATAATACTCCTATCACTACGGCTGCTGCTGATGCTCCTCCCCCTCCTCCTCCTTCTTCTCCTCCTCCTGCTGCTGCTGCTGCTGCTGCCGCTGCTACTACTACTACTAACTATTTTTACCGCTGCTGCTGCTACGTTGTTGTTTTTTTGTGTGTTTGTTTTTGTTCTTGCTGCCGCTGCTGTCGTTGTTGTTGTCAATACTACATAAGCTAGTTCTAATATGAGTCTTAAATGTCGGGACAGCGGTTACCTGCTATAACCACAGACACACTGCATCGCGTGTCCTTCTGTCATAAAGCCTTTAACAAGCACGCACGAGCGCAGAAAAAAACACGAAACTCTTAACACAAAAGCGTACACATGCGCGTACACATACTTACATGCACGCGAACACGCGCGCACACACTCATACACACGCACACCGACGTGAGCACGCGCAAACCCGCCTTGTACTATCTACTTCTAATTGTGAATGCGATTGCGCGAAAGTTGTGCAGTAGCGCAGTAGAGATTTTTATCTGCAAAGGTTCTTGCAATCGCTTCTATGGCATGCTGAAAAGGAACCAAAAATTCACAGATACACACACACGCACACAGGCACACACGCACGGACGCACGGACGCACGGACGCATGCATGCACGCACCCCCCACACACATATATATATATATATATATATATATATATATATAAGGAGCGACGGAGACGAAATGACGGGAGCATGCACGCTAGAGCTTTCCTGCGGGGCATATCCTACAAAGAGTCGATACTTATTACAATTAGTCTCGCGTTTTCTCGCAGGTGCCAATCAGATTGTTGGAGATAGCCGAGGGGCTGCCGTCGATGCGTCGCTGCTGTCATCGGTACACAGATCTCATCATCAAGTAAACAGAGACGACGAGCGAGCAGGCGTCAGCCATGCAGCTACCACACATCTCCGTACTCGGCTGGCTCTTCGTCCTCATCTCCAACTCAGGTCTCATCCTCAGTCAGTCGGATCGGGATAACACGCGGCGGACGACAGCCGGAAGCGTGCGCGGATTCGTCCAGGAGATCCTCGGCAAGCGCGTGAACACCTACTTCGGCATTCCCTTCGCGAGACCGCCCGTCGGCGAGCTGCGCTTTCGCGAGCCGACGCCGCCGGAGCCGTGGCGCGGCGTGCGGCGCGCGACGACGCTGCCCAACTCCTGCGCGCAGGCGCACGATCTCGCCTTCGGCAACTTCTCCGGCTCGATGATGTGGAACCCGAACACGAACGTCAGCGAGGACTGCCTCTATCTGAACGTGTGGGCGCCCGCGCAGCGGCCCGGTAGCGGTGAGCTGCCCGTAATCGTCTGGATCTACGGCGGCGGCTACATGTCTGGCACCTCCTCGCTTGACTTCTACATGGCGCACAACCTCGCTGCGTTCGCCAATATCGTCGTCATCTCGATCCAGTACCGACTCGGCGCGTTTGGCTTTCTCTACCTCGGCACCGACGAGGCACCGGGCAACATGGGCCTGCTCGATCAGACGATGGCGCTGCGCTGGATCCGGGACAACGCGCGCGAGTTCGGCGGAGATCCGGATCGTGTGACGATCATCGGCGAGAGTGCCGGATCGTCGAGCGTATCGCACCTGCTGCTGTCGCCCGTGTCACGCGACCTCTTCAGCCAGGCGGTGATGCAGAGCGCCGTCGCCACGAGTCCGTTCGCCTACAAGCCGCGGGAGGTGGCGCTGCAGCGCGCCGAGGCACTCGCCGAGGACGTCGGCTGCTTTGCGCCGGGAAACGTCAGCGACACGACGGCGTGTCTGCGACGCGTGCCGACGCGGGTTCTCATATCGAGACAGTACGCAGAGACGATCATCGATGCGCGCGACCCGTTCTCCTACTTCCCGTTCACGCCGACGCTGGACGACTACTTCATCCGGGAACCTCCGCAGGATCTCGTCGACCGCGGCGACTTCAAGAAGACGAGGATTCTCATCGGCAGCAACAAGGACGAGGGCTCCTACTTCTTGCTCTACAGTCTGCCGAAACTGTTTCCGAAGAGCGAGCATCTCGACATATCGCGAGAGCAGTACGCGCAGGGCACGACGCAGCTGTTCTCCGTGTACAGCGACGTCGTCGTCAAGATGATAGCACACGAGTACAGCCAGTGGCCCTACAACACGGCCAACAACGCGCAGTCTCTCAGCGAGATGCTGGGAGACTACGAGTTCACCTGTCCCGTCATTCGCTTCGCGGAAGCCTACGCGAAGGCCGGGCTCGCTGTGTACCAGTATTACTTCACGCACCGATCTGCAAACAACCCGTGGCCGACCTGGGGAGGTGTGATGCACGGATACGAGATAGACTACATACTGGGTCTACCGCTCGACAGTTGGCGAGACTACACGGAGAAGGAACGGAATCTGAGCATGACAACGATGAAATATTTCAGCAATTTCGTCAAAAGCGGGTTAGCAACTTTTTCACGACGCTAAATTTTGACTAAATAAATGTTGACTGTTAATAGTGACGATAATATTGTTAATTATGATAATGATGATAAGGAGGAGGATGATGATTACGATGATGATGATGCTGCTGCTGCTGCTGATGCTAATGATGATGATGACGATGATGATGATGACGACGACGACTACTTAGACCGTATCTACAAGTTCATCACTTTTATCGAATATGCGTAGGATGAAAAATATAGCATTTATATGTTCGAACCCACGTATCCTCCGTTTTATAACCTTTATCGCGTCAAATGCCGCGCCATCAAGCAACATGTTATGGAAAGTACAAATATCACCCGACATCCGCTATTGCAATATTTGTCTCACTTTGGTGGTTTTGCAATTATGCGTCGAGAGAGAGAAAGAAAGCGAATTTGTTCTGCGGCCCGCATAAGCGACATTTCCGAAACAACCTGATATGATGAGCAGCGTAATACAATCATGGTCGCTCATGTAGAACTATTGACAATCAGACTTCACCAACGTTTTCACTCCTAAATTTAAAGACAGAACTCGCAGAATGCGCGCTCCCGTAATGCCGTCTCTCAATATCGCCTGATGAGATCAGATTCGATTTACGAGATGAAATGTAAATCTTTCGATTTCTCGTCGGCAGCGATCCGAACCGAGGCGACATGGACGTGGCGACGCAGTGGCCTAAGCACACGATCGACGAGCGATACCACCAGGTGCTCAGTACAGGCTACCTCACGTGGGGCACAGCGCCGCGCATGCGCCAATGCGATTTTTGGCGGGAAATCGTGCCTTCCGTCAACGAGATTGTAATTCAGAAAACAGGTGAGAGAGCTTTCTTTCCATTATCTCTTTTGTCATCAACGGACATTCTGCGACATAAGGTAATCGTCTAACAGGTGAAAGAGTCATGCATAGTCTTCAGCAGCCGATGTTCCTCCTTTTCTTTGCTAGTAGCAACTACCACCTAGAACTCACCTATTATGTCTGTCTCAGCAATATATCCACAACCCCTCCCCTTAGATAGCCTTGATACGTCGGTCAATCTAGACCAGTCTGTACGTGTTGTTCAAGCGCACACGCCAAAACATCGACTTTGTATAAGTGCATAGTAGAATATCGTAGCCAGGCATTTTCTGTTAGAATGTCCCTATCAATGATTGTGTGGCACTGTCAAGTATTGCGTGGTTACGAGAAATGATTGCACACAGACAGACAGACAGACAAACAGACAGAATTACCTGTCAATCACTCTAGACGGATAGATAAATTCCAGCATGTTTCAGAATCACGGGCGAAGAGCAGTAAACATTGTAAATTTTGGACAAGAAATATTTAATTAAAATTTCTAATTAAATAAAACTCGAATTCGTACCAGTAACATTTCGCTATATAATCGTTGAAAAGGAGTTATACAATTAACCCGGTGTGGTAAACACTTCTATGTAACGAATAACTGTCTTTAATTTAATGACACCTTTGACGTTTCTCTTGAGTGTTAATCACACAGTGAAACCATCTTTATAGAACGTGCACCTCTCGATGAGGGACACATTTTCTACTTCCCTTGAGTGACTCTTACATACAGGTTTCACTGTACTATTCATATCCTATAGCCTGCTGTTTATTAGCTATGTATACGGCCCTCGCCGTTAGTAATAGCTGTGTGTGAAGTCCTTTGAACACGCAGAGAAACATTCTCGCCGCGCGTCGTGCGTACGTACAATGAGGACGCAGCTATCGACTCAAGCGCACTGTGATTTCGTGAGCTAGCTACTTCTTCGTATAATGAGACCCTCACCGCGTTTCGTTCAACACGTATAAACTACACTTATGTAATCACCGTAATTCTTCCTCCATGCACCCCTTAACCTTGCGCTCCGATTGCGCGAGAGCTATTTACGAAGTTTAAATGTAGAGCCGCGTGTAAGCCGACTACCTAATTGTACGCGCCGGTTAGTCAATTATTAACGAAGGCCTAATGGCTTCATTATTGCCATCTATATAGGTATCGCTGTCGGCACGCGAGATTGGATGATTTCCAAGGACTTGAATTTAACCAGCCGTCATTGGCGCCTGTATCGTTTCCCAGGTGCAAGCGAACGAGGTCTTTTTTTGGTTTGCAGCTCTAAAATCGCACATTTTTTGCCCTAAGAAAGCTAACGATAACATGTTTTACGCTCCGAAGCCGACGGGAGTGAGGCGGAGTACTTTCTTCGGGCGGAGCATAAGGATACAGTATTCGCGCAGTAATCTATATACATTCCAGTTAGGCAGCAGCAGTCAGGATGCACTTCTAGGCGGTAGAGTCGCACGCGGAAGACTTTGTTGAGTTTGTTCAATTATGTAAAGCGCTTATCAATATTTTATGTGTCTGCCGTACGTCGCTATTATTTTTGCACGGACCGCGCGTCGTTTACGCCCCGCTGAAGAATCGGGATCGGATCACGCTCACTTCGTAATTACGACGGCGTGCCGACAGAGGGCATCTCGAGCGGCGGGCATACTGACAATGGCGCATCGCAGGTTGGCGCGTATGGATTCGGCGACACCTCGGTGACTGGCGTTAGTAGACACGCGCGCGCGTACTCTTACACACACACACACGCACACACGCATGCACGCACACACACACTCGCGCGCACGCACACACACACCGCACACACACACACACAGCACACACACACACACACACACACACACACGACACACACACACACACACGCAAAACATCACCACACACACACAACACACACACGACACACACACACACACCACGCACAGCACACACACACACACACACACACACACACACACAAGACACACATACGCGACCCGGCTGTCACCCGCATTCAAGACGAGGCTTCGACGCGCGCATTTGCACTGTTTCACGATGTGTACTGCTGTGACTTTAATCGAAGTTTGACGGTTTTGGAGGATTTCAATTGAAATTTACAAGCCGGCTAATAATAAGTATATATCAGCAGCGGAAACGGCGGCACACAAGTACTGGACGCAGCTAATGCAAACGTAAGCGCCTCTACGCCGCCTTTAAACTGTCCACACCCCTCACACACACAGTATCTCTCTCTCTCTCCTCTCGCCTCTCTCTCTCTCTAATCTGCTCTCTCTTCTCTCTTCTCTTCGCTTCTCTCTCCTCTCCCTCCTGCTCGCTCTCTCCAGCTCACACACTGTCACTACACGACACACTACACACACACACAGCGAGGCGAGCGAGGCGAGGCGACGAGCGAGCAGCGAGCGAGCAGCGAGCACACACACCACACACACACACACCCACACACAGCTCGTGCCGGCTTCTCGCTCTTTTTCTCTCCCTCTCTGTCTCTCTCTCTCTCTCTCTTTCTCTCTCTCTCTCTCTCTCTCTCTCTCTCTCTCTCTCTCTCTCTCTCTCCCTCTCTCTCTATTTCTTCTACATGTGCTCTCTCTCCAGCGCTATCTCTCGCTCTCCCCCTCTCTCCCCTCTGTAGCTCTCTCCGCTCCTCTCTTTCTCTATCTCTCTCTCTTTCTCTCTTTCTCTCTTTCTCTCTGTCTCTCTCTCTCTCTCTGTATCTCTCTCGCTCTCTTTCTCACACACTCTCACATCACTCACTGTCCGCATAATGTGACAGAATCGCTGCAGTTTTTACTGGGAGAAACTCCACTTACTGCGCTGCGCAGTAGAACCGACAGCGATTCGTGCAGACGCCGGAAGGTTATTCAATGCAGCTGCTCGCCACCAGATAGACATACAGATCATCAGCAGAGATACAGTTGCTGCCTGAACTGTACTATAGTGAACAGTACTATGATGAACAGTACTATATATATTGAACACTACTATACATAACGGTACTGTGCTGAACCGCATTGTGTTGAACAGTACTATATACTGCATGAACAGTACTATGAGTAACAGTATATACTAATACCGAGCAATACTATACTGAACGGTACTATACTGAACAATAGTAATACTGGACAGCTAGTACTATGATGAACAGAACTGAAACTGAACAGCACTATATTAACAGTACTATACTGATCACTACTATATACTGAACAATACTATATACTGAACACTACTATATACGAACAGTCGTATATACTGAACAATACTATATACTGAACAGTACTGTGACAAACGGTACTATACATACTGAGCAGTACTATAATGAAAACACAATAATGAACAATACGATATATACTCAGCAATACTATACTCAACAGTACTATACCGAACAGTACTATACTTACAATACTGTACGCAATATATATTTATTGTCGCTATGATACTCATGTGGTAGGGCGGCCGATACATTTGTTTGTGTTTTATTCAGAATGCCATTGTAAGCGATACTAACCGCAGAGTCTCGTTCTTCTCTACCCCCCCCCCCGCCTTCAAGTTGATTCGATATCGAATTGTCGTTACAGGTGGCCGGCTGTGTCCACGAACAGCAGGTACGAGCGCTCTCCGAGTCGGTGACGTCAGGCGTGTCGTCATCGTCGCCGTGTGTATACTTCTGGCCGCGGCAGGCGACATAGGACATTAGATACGTGTACACACACATGTACACGTGTGTGTATGTCCGTTCGTGTACGTGTGTTGCTGCGTGCATTATCCTCGTAGTAGGCTCAATAAACGTCTCTGGACAGACGCCTGACAAAGTGGCCATGCTAAGCGATGGTGGCGGCACCTAGTAGGGCGGCGCGACGGGCTGACCACACCGATAATCTCTGACGTTGAGAGATGAGGCCAGAAATGTGCGGTTCATAAGTCAGCTGACAGCGCTCTCGTTTTATTTGTTCTTCCCAGCAACACATTATTGTTGGGTCAAGTCATCACCAAGGCGAGGCAAAGCCTTATAATTATATAACGCGTAATTATTGGTCAAGTTAAAACACGAACAAAAAAAACGCGAGCTAAAAAACGGCTAAGCTGCTTCTTCTCGATAAAAATGTTTATAGATGTTTTTTTATAATTCCAATGTAAAACGTTCCAGTGTGGAACGCGTTTTATTCCATTGTGGAACGCATTGTAATCTGTTACGGAATGCGTGCCAATCCATTGTGAATAGCGTTTCGATTGCGTTACGTAACGCGCGCCATTTAATAGTTGAATTCATTGGTTTCCAAGGTGGAACACCCGTACTCTTATATTGTGGAACACGTGGATTTTATCATGGAACACGTGCATATTCTACTGTGGAAGGTGTCAAAATAGCCCGAGCACCTGACTTTAGACTAGCATATTCGCGGGTAGACAGCTGAGCGCACATCATCCCCTACCCGCCGTACATATGGTATCACACACTGCTAAAGCCCGGCGCACACGTGAGTAAAATGACTCATGCGTCATTTTACTTGAGTAAAATTACTCACGTGTGCGCCGGGCTTAAGACACGTAGTATGTACTCAAGTCACCCATACGGGATATAAGTCTATATAAGATTGCTTCGTTAATGTGTTTATATAGATAGTTTTCAGGCAGAGAAATTTTAATCTCACAGTATCTACAGTAAAGCGCCAGAATTGTTTCGTTTTGTTTTGCTTTTGATTTATTCCTATATTGTTTCTGTATTTTCCCGTTATTCAAGATATTGTACCGTTTATGCTCAAACTCTCCATCGTGCCAGTGATCCAATTTACATCACCGTATTGAAAACATGTCTTAGATGCATGTATATATAAGTGTGATTTTTGTATTTGATTATATAATTATTACTTTTCGAACGAGTTTTTTTTATCGTAGTCATTCATTCGTTGGCTAGTGCTTTCGCTAACACCACATGCACTGCTACGTCTAGCCTCTTTTTACTTTTTGAACCCATGCTAATACAAATTAATAAACGTTCAAATTAATTTATCTTTAATCAATTCGAAGGCGAAGCACTTAGGCGATAAAACAATGCCATGGCAGCGTGTCCCGTCATGGTAAAATCCACAGTACTGGAAAACGGGTACGGGTCCGCTGAGCTTGACTGTGTATAATCTTGTGATACCGATATAGAAAGAACGCGTGTGCATGGAGTGAAAACTACGAAAATCGAAAAGGTTTGCCTGAAATTTGAGTAAATTTCTAACTAGTGAAATTCGCATTCTAATTGGTCAGCCTAGCAGTAAATTGTAACACGTGATCTTATAAGTCATAAATGCTCCTTAGATTTTGAAATCAGCATCATGGAATTACGAATTTCGAATGATCATTCTAGGCTTTCGTAGGAAATGTATATACTCGGCGTTTATTTGACTACGCATAATAAACGCACAGGCCACGAGTTCGAGTATTTCCAAACTCGCGCTAGGCATCAAAGATATATCGTTCGTAATTGCTCATATTTACTACATGTTCTAAATTACGTGTTGTTGCAATTAAACCCCACACTGCCCCAGTTATACTTTTTAAGAATATATTATTAATCGAATTTACTATTTCCCATATTACAGGACTGCAATAGATTTATCTATAGTTAATCCATAGAAACGATGAAACATTGTTTTATATTATTACCCCATACCTATAAATAATCTTGAAGTCTTGTATCTGAATTGTATGTAATTAATTACTATAAATTATATTTAGTACACGTTTCTGATGCCAGTCTTTAAGAAACCATCGTGTAAGTTATAACTGCTGTAAGAGTGTACTATACGCTCCACAAACACACAAACACACACACACGCACACACACACACACACACACACACACACACACACACACACACACGCACCATCACACAGCACACACACACACACCACACACACACACTCACTCAATTACCCCCCCGACAAATACCCCCCGGACAATCCGAACCTCCCCCGCCGACATATTAGAACCCGCCGCGACAATTTACCCACCCGTGGACAATTACCCTCCGGACATTTTACCCCCTGACAACTTACCACCGCGAACCAAGTCAGCCCCCGGACATTTTACCCCCGCCGACAATTACCCCTCGGACCAATGACCACGCCGGCGACATTTATCCCGCGGACAATTACCCCCCGAGCATTTACCCTCCGGACAAACCTCCACGCCGCGAGCCAATTACGTCCGGACAAAACAGCGCCTCGACCATACCTCGGACATTTGAGCTCCCCGCGACAATTAGCTCCCCGCGGCATTTTAGGAGGAGGAGATTAGAGGACGACGCGGAGAAAATGGCGGAGGAGATGAGGGGTCGAGAAGGAGAGGCTAGAGGCGGCTGCGCCGTGTGTGGTCTGGCCGAGAGGAAGAGAGGAGGGAGCAATGTGATTGGCGAGGAGGAGCGAGAAGGCACGGACGGCTAGAACGCGCCCTCCTTCTTGATTTTTCCTCTCCCTCCTACCTCGCTCCCTCCCACCTCCTCTTCTCCTCCTCCTCCGCCTCCTCCACCTCTCTTACTCCTCTCCCATCTCCGTCCCTCCTCCCACCTTCTCCCATCCTCCTCGCTCCACCAATTGCTTCTCCGTCCTCCTCTCCTCCACCACGCGGTCGTCCCTATCGTTTCTCCCCCTCCCTCCTCCTCTATCCACCTCCTTATTCCTTCCTCACCTCCTCCTGCTCTCTTTCCTCCTCCCACTCTCCTCTCCTCCTCTCTTCCTCCTCCTTTACTCGGTTACTCCCCTCTCTCTCCTCCTGCCAGCGTCCCCACCTCTCTCCTCCTCCTCCTCCACCTACCTTCTTTCCATCCTCCTCGACCCTCCTCCCTGTATCACTGTTTGTTCAACACATAAGATAATACACAAACAAGTGAGGCGAAATTCCGGGGTTGATGTCGTGGGGGTGAATGTCAGGGAGTAAGATTGTCCGGGGGGCTAATTGCGGGAGGTAAATGTCCTGGGGTAATTGTCCGGGGGTATTGTCGCGCGGGAGTAAATCGTCCGGGGGGTTAATGGTCCGGGGGTAAATGTCCGCGGGGTTAATTGTCCGGGCTCGATTGTCGGGGGTATTCTTCTAAGAACCTCACTCACAACACCACCACACGCACGCAACGCACGCACGCACGCACACACATATATATATGTATATATATATATATATATATACATATATATGTTAGTGGCGAGCAAAGACGAGCAAGACATTGTATAGTCTATGATATACCGAACAAGACGAGCTCAATAGCTCCCAATCAAATTACCTAAAGTCATTATTGTAATCAATGAATAGTAATTTAATAAGAGGAATTTTCATCTGCTAGGTGAGCAGCTGACATCAATGTAGCTTTCGTTGTCGTGTCGTGCGTGCATCCACGAGGTTTCAGTATAAGTACGTTTCGAGATTTATTACAGTGGATATCATTATATATGTTATTGACGTATAATTAGTTTTGCGGGGATATGCGTATGACAGGAAACACTTTTTTTTTTTATCAAACCGATACGTTGGCTAATGAGTAAGATTGTTAATTTTTGTTACAATAGTATAACGTGAGTGTAACATTTCGCAGTATCATCTGAGTTCAATGCATGTATTTAGTAGAGAATAAAGCAGGGCGTTGCTCCCATTTCTTGACAGTAGTCACGTGCAAACAGTAACTGTTTGGATAAAGGTTGAGGATGGATGAAATTTCATGCGAGCTGTAATACAATGTCGGTGTTTGCTAGAAAATTGTACTTCGTTGTTTACGGTTTTCGTGTTAATAATATTTTATTGATCTACGTCATACGGTTCCGCTTGTTGACCGGGTTATTATAGAAATTAATGTATGCGCATTAGAACACATACATATAATTGCTATAATGGTCTCAATTTATAATAAAAAAACTATGTCTAATTTGTAATATCTACTTGTTTGAACTATTTTGTGTTTTAGTAGGTTTATTTCTCTGACTTGTTGACTCGGACTCCGCTTGTTACTCTCCGACGCTCGTTCTGCGAACACGAATTCCGATTCGAATAAACAAACGTAGATGCGAATGACGGTAAACGCTTCGTGTGCCGCTTTAGCGATCAATAACCGAGCACAATCAATACAAAACATTTCATGCGAGGCATCTTTTCGCAAATTTTCAGTTTGTGTGAATTGTCGCGAGCGGTGCGAATCAACGCAGAGACACAGTCTCTGATAATCGCTTCGTGTCGGCGTGCAAAACGCGAAACTGCGCGATGGCTTAATCTCGCAGATGTGCAGCAGCAATATTACGCTAGCGTCCGATGTGCTGCTGTCCGCACGCCGAGCGAACGGCCGCGGGGCGTATTGACCGAATCGGAAGCGTCACGATGTGAAGACGGGAAGACGAAACATGTTCGTTGCTCGTGAGAGACATCGCGGTGACGAGCTGGCTGAAAAAGATCCGAGCATTAGCTGCTCGAAACTGCACGAATCAAAATTCCTGTCCGCGCGAGACATCGCCATCTGTAATCTATAGAGTTAAAACATCTCTAGTTGGTGTACAGCCAAAAAAATACTTGTGTGCACGATGTAGAGTTTGTTGTTGGTGTCGTATTCTCGTCTCTACTGGTCGTTCTACGCTGTATCAAACACGCTAAGGTTTACTCATTGTTTGCAGTGAAAACATGTCTACTACGTGCACGGTTTTGATGTTCCGATGTTTGCTGCAAGTTGGCTGTTTTTGTCAGTTCTTTAACAACTATTTACTGGTTTCGGAAATAAACAATGTAAAATAGGGGGCACTTGTTTTTGACGCAATTAGACTATTGACTCTCAACACGCTATGTTTATTTTCTTCTTCTTCGCATTGCAGTTTGTCGAGACCGCAGTAAAATGCCTGCCACCAATAATCATCGTACACACGTGAAAATATTTATACTTAGTTCTGCTTCAAGTAAAAGTCAGGGTTATTAGGGCATGTTGTATAGGAAGAGGTATATATATATATATATATATATATATATATATATATATATTACGTACGTACGTAGTACTAGTAAGTAACGTAACGTAACGAACCGTAACGGTAACAACCGTAAACGTAAACCGAACCGTAAACGGTAAC